GGATTTGTGAGTCTTTGTGGAAAAATCAAACGTAAACACCCGACACAGCAGGAAGGGATCTTTGAACCTCCATAAGTCACTTCAGGGAGACGCGTCCATCAAGCTGAAGAGTTATGAGCAAATATAGACTCGGTGGCCACTTTATTAGGTACACCCATCCAACTGCTCACCAACACAAGTGTCGAATCAGCCGATCACGTGGCAGCAACTCACTGCATTTAGACATGTAGACGTGGCCTAGAGACGATCCGCTGCAGTTCAAACCGAGCATCAGAACCGGGAAGAAAGTGGATTTAAGTGACTCTGAATGCGGCATGGTTTGTTGGTGCCAGACGGGTTGGTCTGAGTATTTCAGAAACGGCAGATCTACTGGGATTTTCACGCACAACCATCTCTAGGATTTACAGAGAACGGCCCGAAAAATAGAAAATATCCAATGAGCGGCGGTTCTGTGGGCGCAAATGCGAGCTGATAGAAGGGCAGCAGTAACTCAAATAACCACTCGCAACAACTGAGGTATGCAGAGAGCATCTCTGAAACCACAGCAAACCTTGAGGCGGATGGGCTACAGCAGCAGAAGACCAACCGGGGGGCCGTTCCTGTCAGCTAAGAAAAGGAAACTGAGGCTAAAATTCGCACAGGCTCGCCAGAATCAAAAAAACGTTGCCTGGTCTGATGAGTCTGGATTTCTGCTGCGACATTCGCATGGTGGGATCAGAATTGGGAGTCAACAACTTGAAAGCACCGATCCGTCCTGTATTAACGATTCAGGCTGGTCCCGACAGTCTCATCTTATCTCTGTTTGTTTCTCTGCTCATATCTACAACCAGCTTCACACTGGAAACAAAGCTCAGGATAACACGTACTGCTCACCTGTTCTGGATATAATAGTAGTTACAAATCCATGCAACTTACTATACTGGTCAAATATACTTCATGACCTCTGCCTTTACACTCACTTTGAACCATGAGCGCTGCCCTTTCTTCAGTCTGGTCAGGTTTTGCTCTTATTGTATACATCTGATGAGTGATAGCTGACTTCAGAACCAGAGATGTTCTCCCCAAACTCCGCATGAAATTGGAAAACACACACCAACACTGATAATCACAGCACCTGTTATGTTTTTCTTTTCTTTTCAGCTCTGGTCATAATGTGTCTTTTGTTCAGTGTTTGTCTCATTACATCAGCTCTCCATCACTCACTGAGACAGCTTGTAGGTCAGCTCTTCTACCCGGCATTTCATGTGAGATTTCCTTCCAATTTCGTTTCTGCTCATCTCCAAAAGGTTTAGCTGGGTTTCTTCGTCAGTCAATCAAATCTTTGGACGGCAAAACCGGACATTTGTTTCTGAAGAAACCAGTAGCTTGCTCTGTTTTTGAGTGCAGGTTTGCTGCAGCCTGCAAGATTTACTTTCCTTTTACTGGGGGATTCGACCACGATTGGTAAAACAAGACCTGGAAGTTCTGCAAACTTTATCTTGTACCCGCTGAAGGGGATTTATCTCATCAGCAATACACAACAAAGAAGAACTATTTCTATTAATTTCACGTAGATTTAATTTTAAAAGATACTTAAAATTCATTTGAAGCAAATGTCAGTAAAATATTCTGTTTTAAATGTTGACCTTTTGTATCTTATCAATGCAACGTTTCGCGTGGTTATGACTGCCGTCCGTCAGTCGGGTCTTTGCCTTGGCTCTTCATGTTCCTCTCCTGAACTGCTCAGTGCGTCCAGCAGCATCAGCTGTTTTCATGCAGGTCTATGCTGCTGCTGCTGCTGCTGCTGCTGCTGCTGCTGCTGTTGCCCTTAGGGACAAAAACACTTTGTTTGATAAATTGTTGATGTCTCCTTCAGCATTTTATGTTTACAGTCCATCACTTCGAAGTGCATCGCTGCAGGCCTGCAGAAAGTGGGTTTTTCTTATCAACCTTCAATTTTAACCGCTGCATTTTTTTTCCTCATCTTTTTTTTTTACATTTCTTCTCTTATTTCTCCATTACTGATTCTCTCTTTCTCAGAGGAAATTACATAAGTCTTTCAGTGTGTGCGTGTGGGCAGTGTTGCACTTTATGTAAGGCGAACGTGGAAATGGCTAGTGAAACACTTGGGTCTTGCCCCCTGCTTTGTTTCTTTCCCTCCTTCTGTCCTGTAGCCTTTTGTGGTTGTGTTTGCGGTTTGGCTATCAGCTGTGGTTGCGTGGTGCTTGATATGCAATGAGGTGACTCTGGCTGCCCACTCAGAATCACAAACGCACATACGAAGAAAAGGTTTTGTGAAACACACCTTTTAATAAGCTTATGTGGATTTTAATTTGAAGGAGATTTACAGTTCATCCATGATGTGCCGATGATTTTTGTGATTATTGTGGAACAAAATTTCAGATTTTGTGGAACCTTATTGAAAATGTTGCTGTCAAAATTCAGCCGACGTGCAGCGATTGGTCAGAAAAGAAGGAAATACAGGAAATGTTAAGTTTATTTGGTCATATTTGTGGAAACGTTGCGTTGTCTGGTGAAAATTGCAAGTCTGCACAATTTACGAATGATGAGTGAATTTGCATTAATAGTTGCTGTCACAACATTGCGACTTTCTGGAGAAACTGAGGTCAGTTTTTGAATTAACATTTAAGGGAAACAACCCACATTTAATTTTAGTAAATACATTTTTGAATTTTCTTTTGCAGCATGTCTATGTTTTTATTCCAAATTCATAAAAGGAAGAATGTCAGAAAAAACGTGGGGATCTGTTGATTTTGTGAAAAACTGGAGGGACTTATTGATGTAATTTGGAGTTTGTGCGGCCACATAAAAATTTACGGCGGGCCAGATTTGGCCCCCAGGCCTTGAGTTCGACACATGTGGTGTAAGAGAATAGGAATAGTAATCTCTACTGTGATTAAACTCCTTAAACAAAAAAAGAAATTCCATTAAAATCCTCTATTTTTCTGTCAATTAGCAAATAGAAATAGTTTTGTTAACCACACCTGATCCAAGGTTTCCCCCAGAAAACTTGCTGAGCCCGGCCGTTGGGCGTGAGGGCGGTCGTTCATCCAGCGGCCCGCCGTGTTTTTGAGTTAAAAAAATGTTTAAAGTTGAGAGGAAAGTTTTAAATATCACTTGATAACTATGTGTTATTAAAAAATTGGAAGATTAACCCCTGAAACCAACTATAAAGTAAAAAAAAAAAAATGCAAACATAAATAAATAAATAAATAAACAAACAGTACTCAGCCTGGTGGCCCGCCAGGCTTATAGTACACTGGGGGAAACCCTGCTGATCTGAAACAGGAAAAATTTGGTCAGATTTAATATCTCACAGCAATAAAAAGTCATGTCTCATTTTATTCGGTTTATTTGGTTTCAGTCATATTTACGACTGCCTGGACTTTCCAAGCCGGGATTCTTCTTAGTTGGTTATAAACAAGCAAAACAACAACAACAAAAAAAAACCCTCCATCCTTCAAGCCATCTAAGAGCCCAACAGACCTTCAGCTCAGAGTTACTACTGATGATCTGCTCCTTGAGGGGATAATGTTTCACTCCTTATTGATCCTTTAGATTAAAATGTTCCTCCTGATTCATTTCATTCCTGCTTTAATCTGGCTGCCGTCAGCACGAACCTGTGATTGTTACACGACACCAGCGCTCTTGTTTTAACGGCTTCTCCTGTACTTCCTCCAGGACGGCGTTTTCCAATAACTGTAAGTGGCCTTGCTAAAAGAACCAGCTAAAAGAAGGGGATGGTTATGTCACAGGGCCGAAGCGGTGATGAAAACATTGTGGGGGAAATTTTTCCAATAGGATATTGAACAGATATAAACTCATGGTGCTTTCTCCAGTGCTACAGGAAGCAGGTTGCTGCATCTTGTCTCTGATTTGCTTTGATTTCTGTGGCAATTTTTATTTTCTTAAGAAAAAAAAAAAAAAAAAGATCTGGAAATAAAACACCTCTGCACTCCGGAAAACCTGTCACCCTTTGGCAAAGTGGGTCGGTGTGTGTGCAAAAGTTGTGTGTCCGTGTGTGTGGCTGCGTGCGCCTCCCAACTTGTTGGAGAAAAGGGTGTTTCACTGAGTGGGAATGCCTGGTAGGATGTGTAGGCCCAGGTTGCCATAGCATCCATCTGCTGCTACGCTCACAAGAGTTTGCAGACCGCCCACGCACTGTGACATCCAGCATCAAGCCGATCTTAGAGGGGGAAAAAGTAAAGCTATGACTGAACGCTAACATTAAAGAGCCAAAAATAAGCAAACAGATGCACGGTGATTTTGCTTCATTCTTTGATACATGAATAGGTGCGTTCGTCCAGAGCAAGCATCTTTTGATGGCGTTTCCTGTTACATTGAAGACAGACAGACGTAGGAGAGGTGTGCAGCTCTCAGCACACAGACCAACATTTTGGCAGAGCGAGGAGCGAACAGAAGGTTGCGAAGCGGCTTTAAATATTCCGCAGCTTTGACATGAATTTCTGCAGAAGGCTAGTTAGCGAAAACACTTCCAGACGGCAGGTGAAAGTGTCTGTCTGACCGATGCAACAGGTCGCCACCAAAGTGAAGAGCCTCACCAGAAACACTGACATGGCCGGCTCACACCATGCAGTGGCAAAACTGAAACAGCAACCATCAAAAAATGTGAAAACAGAACTTATACACTGCAGGGGTTTTTTCTAACCTGTCGTGACGCACAGCCATGGCGAAATGAAAGAATGACGTTTTCTTTTTATGTGTTAAAACATAGCCTATATTTGTGCATTTATATAAGCCATGATTAGTGATTAAATACCATGACGCATGAAAATGTACTTTATTTTGAAAAACTGGCTACTGTGCGCTGCGCTGCTTTCAGGAGTGAAGAAAAAGTCCGAAGTAGAGGTAGAGAACGAGCAAAACCTGAATAAAAGCAAAAGAACTTCCAGACACATTTTGGTGGGAAGACTTGTATTATTATTTGAAGTCTAAATAGACGTATTTACGTTTTTGGACTTGTCTGATGTTGCTTGTAGATGCAGGAGGAGGAAAGCACCCAGACAGGCTCGCAGCGGGCCTTCAGCGTCCTGGATCGCCTGCTGCTCACTCACCCCGTGTGGCTGCAGCTGTCGCTCAACCAAGACTCCGCCCTGTATGTGCTGCTCAGAGAGCCCGTTGGGGTAAATATTCACCTTAATAACACATTTATCATTTCTGGACCAATTCTTTACAATGACAGCTGCCATGTTGCCTCTTATTGTTGTCAAAAGTAACTGCTAAATGCTCCTGGTGAACGCTACCTGATGGAAACTGGAATTATTAGTAGTCAAGGCAAGTTGGGAGCTATTTCCCCGACTTGGCCCTGCGTATTGAAGTAAAAAGGCTGGCAATGCCGTTTTAAATAAAATTTGGCAGCCAATTTTGGCAGGATTTAATCAAACGTCAGCTGTTACCAAACACTTCTGCTTATGTGCCTTGTCAACAGTTTAAACTAAATCTGTTTTACACTTGTGTCCTGGACGGTTGTCGGTGCTTTCAGACCTTTTTGGTGCGGAAGTGCAGCTCCAGCCAGAGGAAGGTGCTGTGTTTGAGAGTGGCAGCCGACCGGAGTGCCTCCTCTGTCAAGGAGTGCTTCATCTGTGAGGAGGACTCCAGTGAGTATGAAGACAAGCCGCTGATGTCTACACAAAGTTACACGGATGCAAGTGCCGGTTCAATTTTAAATTTTTTACGAGACTGAAAATACAAAGTCAAAATTCAGTTTTTAGCCAAGAGTAGTTAGCTTGAGTCCCTCAGCACAAAAACGATTAAGTCTTTTGACACTTACAAAACAACATTGACTTTGTGATCAATGAATGCGGCGACCCTAGTGGTAGCCGGAGGGTATTGCAGCTTGATAAGCAACAGGAACAAAAAAAAACATTTAATATTTTTCAAGAGCAAAAGTTCAAACAGAAATATTTTTACTTCTAACAGTCACACAGAGGTGAACAGTGATAGAAAAAAGCAGCACCTCTTCGTTCTGCTCATGTATAGCCTAGCATTAGCACTGCAGCACAGCTATTTGATTGCAGGAAGTTTGAAAATCAGCAGTTTAAAGTTGTGAAAAGTGAATAGGTTTTCTAGTTTTTAAATAATGATGGCAATAAGTAGTCAATATGATGAAAACTCAATTTCTGTATCTATGGGAAGCTATTAAATGCAAGAAAACACGAAAAACAAACTTCAGTGCATAATTCAAGACGTTTGTGTTTGGTCTTGTGTTTTAATTAACATGCCTTTATGGGCAATAAATCTTATACCACACTGAAAAGCCTTAATTCCCACAAAATCAGGGGTTTCAAACTCCAATCCCCGACGTCCTGTGTCCTGCAACTTTTAGGAATGTTCCTGGTCCAACACAACTGAATCAAATGGCTGAATGCAATTACATTTTTCAACCCTAATTATGAGATTCAGGCTTGCTGACGCAAAGACAGAGCGAAAGGTTGCAGGACTGGAGTTTGTGACTCCTGCTTCAGATGGCGCCAGGTTTGTCAGAAAAGCTTTCCAAGTCCTCTCAGCCGGCGCCAGTTCATTTCTGGCGAAGGAAAAACAAGGCATCTCTCTTCACTGGAGACAGTTGAGTAGGTTTAGGATATGTTTACAATTTTCTAACAAAAATAACACATTAGCATTTCTTTTTTTAAAAAACAAAAACTTGGACTATAGGCAGCCTCAGAGAGTCAGTCAGTTGGACAGTTTGAAGCATCCAGAGAACAGCAGTCCGACAAATCCACAAAGTTAGCAGTCCTGCATGACTCTTCTCTGCAGGAGGTGTCATGGCTGCTTCATATTATTTTTGACAGCTCCTCCTGAAACAAACTAGTCTTTCACTGCTGTCAGTCAATCTCTTTCTGTTCTGTGAGCAGCGTTCGCCTTGGAGAGCTCAGCACTCAGCTTTCCGGACTTGTGTCGTCTGGTGGCCTTCTACTGTATCAGCAGGTAATATTTCATACGGAAAAAAAAAAAGAAAAAAAAAGAAAAGATTCACGGTGCAGATGCCAGCATGCAGACAACTCTGCCCCGGAATATTTTCATTTGGTATTTTCTTGTCGAGGTTGCAATATCCACATGTATCCTGCAGAATAGTGACAATCAGGGAATCTCTATTTTCGTTTCACATTCGTAAGCCTCTCTGGACGGGTTGTTCAGTTTCATCCTCCAGCCATGTTGCTTAACTGGAGTTTGTTTGTAGCTGAGATCCACAATCAGGTCTGCAGCAAACCAGCTTTGTGATGTGATGTTGCTTTCAAAGAGGTTACATTCAGCAATAATTATCCAAACTTTCAATGTTTTTCTTCGATCTTTGGCTACTCTTAGTATTGTTTACAAATTATTTTTTATCAAGCTCCCAGAAAATTATTATTTTTTTAGATTACTGTTATTTTCCTTTTTAACAATCCACTTCGTTCAGAGTTAAGAATGATTTCAGAACAAAATGAAGATTAAACTGAAGGGACGATCCGGTATTGTGCCAACAGGCAACAAGCAATGATAATAATTTGAAAAAAAATGTAAAGCTACTAATTAAATGCATTTATTTTATTTTTACAGCAACTGCATTTTTGTAAAAATGTTGCGTTGCACTCAAGTGTGAAGCCTATTTTTATTTAATTTCTCACTCCCCGTTGGGAGATAAAAGACCAAATGGCAGAAATTCAGTAAAAAAAAATATCTGGCATGGGGACACGACAGATTGTGGTTGGATGTTCAGCTGTTTGTCTTCTCTTCTGACCAGGATGTCTCAAGTCAACTTAAATATTTTCTGGCTTTAAGTTTAAATGTTAGTGCTCTCTAGTAGTAATTATCAATGAAGGCTGCTCTCAGAAATGCTCCATTTTAATTACACTGCTGTTCGCATTAATCAAGCATTATTAAATGCTGCTCCCATCAGTAACATTCAGCCCGTTAGCATCAGCGCTACAAGCTAGCAGATCATTCTGAGCTGCGTTAGCTAGACATATCATATCTTCTCAGAGAAGCTTTATCAAATTCCTTTAGTCTTTTCTTCTTCACTAATTTAAGATTTGACATTTTTTCTAGACAGGATCAGATATTTTGTCCTAAACAGAGTTTCTGCACTAAGCTGCTCCAACAGAGGGTTAGCTTGGTTAAAAAAGCTACAATAATGTTCTGACAAGACATCAATAAAAACACTGGTAGCTTTACCCTTCGTTCCTTGGACTATATTTGACTTAACCCTGACTGAACACCGGCTGTCTTCAATAAACTCCTGTCCTGCTCCTGCTGACAATGTTTTCTTTTGGAGTAGTTTACTGAAGCGCTAGCTTAACTTGCTCTATGTTTTCATAGGCCTCTGTTGATGCTGTCATTAAAATGTCAGGAGAATCAGAATAAAATGCACATATTACTCCATAAGTTTGATCAAAAAACAGCTGAAGAACCACCTCAATTTATTTGTCACACACTGCGTAATGATGACATCAATGAAATGCATATTCCACAGAGAAATGTTGCACTTCTTCCACAAAGGTGACCAGACTCATTGACAGTTTTGCTAGTAACATATTTCCAGGCAGTTCTGCTTAATCCTGTGCGTTGGTAACACTGAGATTTCTGGGATCTTTGGCAGACAAAATTGTAAACTCTGATCTCAATCATTTGAAAATCGCCTTCCCGTTTATATTACACCTTGTTTTCATTCGATTTCTACTTTTTGTTTCTCCAGAGATGTACTGCCGTTCCCTCTTCAGCTACCAGAGGCCATCGCCAAAGCCACAACACACCGGCAGCTGGAAGCCATCTCACACATGGGGCAGGGTAAACCTATCACTAATTCACATACGAAAAATGCATCAAAAATGTCTACTTTTGGAATTGCATTTAGAAATAGAATTGGGGTAAAACATGTAATATGCTCTTCTATGTCTACAAGAATTATATGTAATGGAAAATAACGAGTCGCGCATTCCTCATCTATAAATCAAAGACAAGCTGCACTTTCCGTGCTACTGTTTGTTTTCACGGCTCACTGGCTAAATCTAACAGATTCCCCTTGTCACTACGACTAACAGAGTGAAGAATGTCTGCGTATCAGTTGTGAGAAAGTCAACTGTGTGAAGAAGTGACTGCCAGTTTGAATCTATTTTAACACAGGAACATGTGCTGTTGTGCTGCAGCAGCAAAGAGCGAGGTGCGACTTCATGATGGCCGAAAGTGATAAGCAGATTCTGGAGTAGCGTAGTCTGCTCATGTGGAAATGATTTCTGTTTCAGTTTTTCCGTCCTGGATTTGATCAAAGCATGAGAACGTTTTTAAAAGGAGCCTGTCGGCGAGTTTGTGTTTGTATATCAGACTACATAATGCTGCTTAGTTGGATATTCCTTTTTAATATGAGCAAAACTTCAGATAAGACTGAAGTTAAACATAGAAATACCAGACTGCTTTGAACCAGTTTTGAGCAATGTGTTCTTTTCGGGATTTAATTAAAATTTTAAGATGAGAAAAGCTGATTGGCTGACTAGCTGAAGCCTAAATCCAAACTGATTTTGCATAAACACCAGGTAATGAACATAAGAAGCAGACATTCAGCTGTATGTTGCTGTTGATTTAATGCTGACCAATTTCCAATTGAAGCATTGAATTCAAACATGTAGCAATAGATACTCTAAGTTATGTTCAAGAACTTAGAAAACCATCGTTCTAGGTTGTAAAACCAGAAATGAGCACTGGGAAATCTGAATGTCCTTCTTTTTAAGGATTGTGGAGAAAGATTTCAGTAAACTAATCAGAATTTTGAAGTTGTATTCCAATCTTCAATTACTGATTTGACCTGAGTCTGATTTTCTTTCAAGAACTATAACATAAGAATATATGAGAACGCCAATCTTTTTGCAGCCTTACCAGCTTGAGAGGTCTTTTATTATTATTCTAGGACCAGAGGCAACGTCACACTGGGTGTGTGAAAGAGCAATTGATCGTTTTTGGCTGGCATTACAAAAACAGCAATATTTGTATTTATTTCATAACAGAGATTAGAATGTAGTTTCATTAATTGTGAGAATTTCTAAAAGGCAAAACATCTCGGATAAATCGGAACTTGATATAGGAGACACGGTGTTCAATTAGCTTCTTACGTGTCTGTGTTTCCTGACATTTGCTTCTTTACTCAGTAGCAGTATCCACACCATAAAGCATTAATGACAGAGCAACAGTCTAGCTTTTATAACTTGTTATAGAGTTGAATTTCAGCCTGATATGCATTGTTAGTGCTTCATTAGTTTCTATCTACCCGATTTCTTAAATGTGAACTTCTTGGATTGTTTCCCGTTAGATTTCTGGAGTGCACCAAGCGCTGTAGACATCCAAAATGGCCCTCTGGGGTCCATTGCATCCACCAGCGGCGCCAATGCCCAAATGGCGGGAACTCAAGACCGATGTTCCCTGTTCATGCGAGGCAAACAAGGCAAGGTCTGCTTCATCAACCCCCTGTTTCTTCAGCTGGAGGTTTGCAAGGTCAGTCACAAACCTGGAAAAAACAACAACAACAAAAAAGATTTCTACTACGACTACAAATTGAAATTCATGTCGTCTTGCTTTGAATCTAATCTTTCCAAACTGCAGCAGCCGCAGCACACGAACCACAGCGCCTCCAACAAGCGGCACCGCTTCAAGCGCAGCATGCGTCTCCGGCTCTCGGAGTCCTCCATGAATCTGTCCCTCGAAGGGGTCGGCTCCTTCTCGCCGCCCCCGTCACTGGAGCAGCCCGGAGGATCGGAGGGGCTGCAGAAAGCCAGCCCAAATCCACAGAGACGAGTTCACGCAGGGGCCGGTGTCCTGAGGAGAACCCCCGCCGTGTCGCCGGGCTCAGCAGAGGAAGACGACATGATGGCCATATATGTGCCACAGGTCAGTCCTGAGGTTGAACTTCAAAGTTTCTACACACTTTAAAATAAAATAAAATAAAAAAAATCCACTGACTCCTCTCTTGTTCAAGACATCTGCTGCTGCTGCTGCTGCTGACGAGACACCCAAGTTCCAGCAAGAGGCGGGAATCGAGGGAACGGTTCTGGGCTTGGAGCGCCGTCCGGCTCCGTCCCTGGCTGAACTTGACAGCTGCAGCTCCTTCAGCAGCATGGACGACGAACACGACTCCGATTCAGAACCCGAAAGCATGGCCCAAATCCAGACAAACACCTTCCACCGCCCGCCGCTCGTCCGCTCCCGAGGCCGCGGCGGGATGCATCGCATGAGCGAAGCTTTCGTGTGCTTTTTCGCGCCCGACAAGCGCCTGACCCGGCTGGTGGAGGAGCTGGCCCGAGACAGGCGCTCGGTGTTCGGGGGCATGGTTCAGGACTTCCTCCAGGAACAGAGGAAGGTGCTGAAAAGTTTGCTAAGCTCCGCGTCACCGTCTCTCGGTGTAACTTCGGTGCAGCTTCTGCAAAGTCTGCGCCTCTTCCTGTCGCAGGCGAAGTGTTGCTTGCTGGACAGCAGAGAACTGGAGCCTCCCATTGAAACCCTAGTGCCAGAAAACGAGAAAGGTAAGAAACGCTCCAGACTGGTCCAAACGCTTTGTTCGACGGGTTTGTACACATCATTTTGTTAGCACAGTTTAATTTAATTCAGGCACCTAAAAGTACAAAAAGGACCAGGGATTCCTCTTGAACGTCATTTTCAAGTGTTTTACATTCCCGCGATAATCACTGAAATGATGATTTCATTTTATTATGTGAAAAAAAAACTGTTTCCACTGCTACTCATATTCCTACCCTTCGTTTTGCTCTTCCTGTTGATCCTTAAGTTGAAGCCACAAGGAGTAGCGGTTCAAATAAGTCAATTTAATGGACAGTACTATTCTTAGGTATCTATCTCTCAATTACCTCTTATTAATGTCTTTTTATTGGTTTCCTTGGGTTTTTTTTGTTCAGCTAGGGGTTGTTTCTTGTCTTGTTTCTGCAAATTTTCTAAATTTTTCTTCCTTGTGTGCACATTCTCTGGTCTGTCCCACTTTGAAGAAAAAATGTCATCTGTAGCATATTGAGATGTCGGAATAAAGAGTAGAGTGGAAATTTCGTAAGCGTCTTTGATTGTAAATAATGATGAGATCCTTTTTAACTGCAGAGTTGTGTAACGTCACTCACACAGTCAAACAGTTTCTGTTTCTTAAGGCTCTTCATGGAAAACAAATGAGTAAATCAGAGCTTTCCCCAATTGGACATATTGATTTTAAAACGGTCTTTTGCTGAATTCTTTTTTAATATCCTGTGTTATTGTACAAGTTATATATTTTTTATTCAATAAAGAAAATAACGAGCCATATATGATATTATAAGGGTGTAATTTAAAAGGACTCTTGTCCTTTTAAACTAAGTGTTATTTGCAAGGTTTCCTCCAGAACAACTGCAGTCATTCATCCTGCGGCCCTTTGTGTTTTCCAGTTGAAAGAAATGTTGAAAGTTGACAGGAATTTTTAAAATATCTCTTGATAATTATGTTATTGAATGATTGGAAGATTAACACCTGAACACAGTCTTAAAAAATGCAAACATTTAAAAAAAAACAAGCAAAGCTCAGCCTGGTGGGGGCACAAGAAAAGCCTGGTGGCCCGCCAGGCTTGTAAAACACTGGGGGAAACCCTGATTTGTCTGTACTTGGAATTTTTTTTTTTACAGTATTTGAAAATCCTAATGATGAGGCATCATTGTTTTAATTTAGTGTTAAAACAGTTGAATTCATCCATCTCAGCTAAAAAAAAAATATATCTGGAAGGAATCAATTAACAAGACAAAGTATTGGAAAGAAAAATACTGAAAAAAGAGAAAGCATTAAGGCCAGCTGGAGTCAGAGGTTTTATGGAAGCAGACGTGGTGGGAGAAAGAAGCTGTCAGCACAGGCTGTGTAGTAGTAAAGTGCTGGTTGGAGGGGGTGGTCGTGTTGTCTCTTATATTTAACAAACGGCGTCGGGATAGCCCTGCCTGATGCGCACAAGCTTCCCGTTCAAAGACGTTACAGGAGGAAAGTGGTTGGTTCTGTTGACACAGCACTGTGCGTAGGATTTTTCCCTTTTTTTGGGCTTCTTTGTGCGTGCCTCATAGGTGTTTTTTGGTGTGTAATGAGACTGATGGTTGCCCATCCTCTCATCCTTCCTCCTTTCCTTCCTTCTTTCCTTTCTGCGCTGCGATTCTGATTTATCTCTCATTGCGTCGGTGGGAGGCATTTGCATTTTTTTTTCCCTCTTCCCCCTCGTTTATCATAAAAAGATATCAGAGTCCCACGCTCACTTGAAAAGCTGCACGATTCGCTGGAGGGTGGGAGGGAGACATAGAAATAGACAGGTTACTTGGAAAGTGTAATCAGTTACAGGTCTGTGAGTAACACCTTTAAAAAAAAAAAAAAAAAAAATCTACTCACCTTTCTGCCAAAGCTGCTCGTCTGTAACGGAGCAGTAATCGCGTTACATGTAACGTGTCGGAGGGAGGAGCGAGGAAGAGGAGTGATTGATCACAGGGACGGGGTTTGTGTAGTAAGGTGGATGGAGGAGAGATGTGTGGGATTGTACAGGAGGGAAACATGATGGAGGGGGAGGAAGAGATTGATGAGAAGTGGAAAATATTGAGTCAGGACTGCCCACTGACTACGCTGAGAGGGTCTCCACGTGCGTGCGAGAGCGCGCACGTGCACGGACACGAGGCTGGATTTTATTAATTACTGTTGCCAGGCCGAAAACAACATTACTTTTACGGACACACGGGCTTTCTCTCTGACAAAACAAAAACAACAGTAAACTAATTTGTCTTCAAAGCTGCAGTGTGGCAAATGTGAAATATTTGAGAAGGGAATTAGACCCCGAGGTGGAAATCAAATGTTACTGGCATTCCTGATGAAGATGTACAAAATTGTTAAAGGGTAAGTTAAGGCTTTTTGGAGTGATTATAACACTGGTCAACATCTAAAAAAAATAAATAATTGTCTGGGGTTTTTCAATTGTTTTAGGGTCATTTTGATGTGCTGAATCCAAAAGTCACATTGGTTTTGTTCAATCAGGTCAAATTTCTGAACTATGGATGCAACATTCAGCATCAAAATGCAGGACTTGTTCTGATCGGTCTCCTGATAATCTGGGATCAATGATTGATGAGCAGGAGAGATTCCATCAGGACAGAAAAGAGACGGAGAATTTTGCAGAAGGAAGACGTAATGTTCAATTCACATGTACTTTACCTTATCAGTGTTTATTATTAAATTTACAGAAATCCACGTTTGTAACATTTAACTAATACACTCTGTCAGAAAACATTTTTCTTTTTTTTGTATGAGAAATATTAACGGAAATGAACTGATAATGTCACAAAAATGTCATCAATTTGTCAGAAGATCGGACCTCTCTAAATCAAATTAGAATAAAAACCTGACCTGACTGAGAAAAATAAATGCCAGATTTGGATTCAGCGGTGCAAAAATAGTCCTAATTCAGTAGAAAAAACAGACAACTTCCAAAACTATTTATTGTTGTTATACAGTGTTGTTAGCTGAGTACACAACAGAATTCATGTTAGCAAACGAAGCTACGCCGTGAAGCTAGTTCCTCTCGCACAACACTGTGAGCTTGTAGGAAAAGTAAGTACATCCTTAAAGTGGTGAAAAGCTGCACACCGTATGAATTATTTTTCAGGATCATCAGATTTTGACTGGGATGAATTTAAAATGAGAACAGGAATAGCTTAGCGCCACGCAGTCAGTTAGCTAACAAATAAAACAATAAGTTAGGGACTGGTTAGCTTAGAAGCATATTTGTGGTGTTTACTATTCTAACAACATTATAACTATACTGTTGAGGTAAAAACATGTAAAGCAACGATTTCGCTTCTGAAAAAAGTGCTTGAATTAATGTATTCAGTTCTTGTAGCTTTGTGTGGCTGATCGCCTCTTTATATTCAGTTCCTAATCTCACTTTAGAAACTTCATGTACTTGTATGTGACTGTCGATTAAGATTACAAACACACCAAAAAGAGGAAGTAAAACTAGAAAATGGATAAAAGCTTAACATCTGTAGCCAGTTACAATTTTTGTGTGTGTGTGTTATGCACTTAATTGAAAAATTTGTAAAAATTGAAAAAAACCCATACAACACTGGAAGACTTTAAGGCGACCTAAATGTAATTGACAAAATCCTGATTGCATGGATAAGTACCTCAGTACAAAATTAAACCGAAATCGTTTTCAGTCGTTGACTGCTCTTACAAATGATAAATTATTTATTTTGTATTGTCAAAACATGTTTGTTTTTCTTTATTATTATTACGGCTGATAATCTATTAATTACCATCACTGGTCAATGCATCCCTCTGGGCATATCGCCTGTTCCTGTGTGTTTTTTCTATCAAAATAAACCGCTCAGACGACAACGCCAAATCAATTTTCAGCTTCCTTCCTCCTCGTTTTCTCTTTTTGCAGACCTGGCGTTGGAGCGGGCCATGTTCTCCTGCATCCTCAGGCCTTTGAAGTGCCACCTCGAGAAAGCCCTGACCTCTTTCCACAGTCGCGACGGCTCCACCCAGTGCCTCACGCAGAACCTGCTCCGCCTGAAAGGGAACGGCGCCATGGAGCGGCTCGGCGTGCGTACGGGGGTCCCGGACGCCCGAGAGGTGGAGAGGGTGAAGCAGAAGCTGATCCTGATGCAGCGGACCCACTCGCCCATCGACAAAGTGCTCTTGCTGCTCCAAGTGTGCAAGTTCGTCCACAAGGCAATGGGGACGTTACACGGTGAGGCTGCCACACGTCCGACGAGTTCACTGCGAAGCCTTGCGAATTGTAGCACGTTTGTTTTTAATGTCAAAATTCGGATTTTTATCCATTTCTTCACGACAGTGTTGACAGTGTTGCTGTGTTTGATAAAAAATCTTGTATTCCAGACATAATTTAAACACACTGTGCAATTATCTCACTTGAAATAGTAAACATCTTTTTTTTGTTTGTTTGTTTTTCTTTTGTCCTTGTTTTACAGGACAGGACGTCAGCTGGGATGATTTCCTCCCTGCTCTGTCCTATGTGATAGTTGAATGTAACAGGCCTCACCTGCTGGTGGAGGTGGAGTACATGATGGAGCTGCTGGAGCCCTCGTGGCTCGGTGGAGAAGGTACGACCCTAACCCAAGCAAAACCTGCGGCACCAAAGTATAGACATAGTAAAATTTAAACGTAAACACAACCACGGATTATTTTGCAAACAGAGAGCATATTTTTCATAATCCTCCGAGTTTTCTTTGAATAAAATATTGCTTTTTAGGCCAGCATTTTAACTATGTCACGTCTACACAAAGCTTTAAAATGATCACATTTACATAGTTTTTCTGAATTGCTCTTTCTAGTGCCTGATGAAATAATGTAATTATTTAATCATTTAGTTTCTCCATGCTAGCAAAGATGTCACGATTTGTAAGTTTGTTGCGTTAGCTTTCGTATCGTCACACGGAGATGCTTGATGTTAAGTTTCTTATTGTGTCAGTTTTATGCCAGATGTAACAGGACGCACACATTCCAAAGTTCGACTTTTCTCTTGTTTGGAGATCATCAAGATGTTTTTTGTTTTTTTCAAATGTGAGATGGACTTTTATTTTGTTTTTGGTCAGCTGTGATTTTTGCCCTGAACTCCTCCATGGATGTGTTTCGTATCTTAGCTGAATCAGGAACAGCGATCTAAAACTGAGGAAAATGAGGCTGCGTTTGTTAAGTTTTGGGAATTAGGAGAGCAAAAATGCAGATGAAGGCCACTTCATGTAGAGTTTAAATAAAGGAAATAAGTAAAAGGAAAAACTCCTGAAAGTGGCCAAGGACATCACAGTAGCACAGGTAGCATGAGGATAGGAACATAGTGAGCTTATAGACTGAGGTAATCGCTACCAGAAATGCTTTAAATTTCCAACATATTTAAAAAGAAAGAAAAAAAGTATTTTCTCACCTCATAGTAGAGAATGACACTGAGTTAAGAGGAGCTTAATCAGGGTAATGTGGAACAGCTGCAAAGGGAGAATGCTAAGCAACTGAGACTGATTAACACAAAGAGCATAAACTGAGCTTAAATACACAAGAATAACACGGAGAATAAGCAACAATACACAACCAGAACAGAGGCCAAGCAAAAATAAATGAAATAATAAACATCACCTAACCATAATAATAATTAAAAAAAAACTGAGGCAAATGAACCATTACCAAAAAGGTTTGACCCAAGTCAACAGCTCAAGGCAATGCTATTAAATAATACCGAGGAGATGCATGTCAACCTCTGACTTTTGAAGACATTAATAAATAAATCTCTTCTCTTTCATTATTGTGATACTTAGTAAATAAACAATAATCCTGGTGATTCGTATCAACCTGAAACAGGAGAAGTTTAGTCTGATTGGACTTCAGACTGAGGAAAAAACAGGTGGATGTGTCTTTTTATTCAGTGCACACACATTTCTGGCTTCAGCTGCTGCACCGTTAGCTACTGAATAATTACCCCTGTCATAACTTAGCTGTTGCCTAAAAATATCTCTGTTGTAGCTGATCGTCAAAGTCGTTGTTTTACTAGCAACACACACTAAATACGTTTCTTTCCTCCCACCACCTGTTTTTTTTTTTTTTTTCTTTCTTTCTGCCTCCAGGTGGGTACTACCTGACCAGCGTCTATGCTAGCCTGTGTCTGATCCAGAGCCTGGAGCAGGATCAACCGTTCTCCGGCTGCCTGACGCCACAAGTGCAGGAAGCCCTGAAGGAGTGGAGCTGCAGACGGACCCTGGAGGCCCAGAAACAAAAGGAGACCCAGCAGAGCCAAGTAGGCACAGGCTCTCTGTTCATTGTAGTGGGTTTGCTGTGGAGGGATTTGTTCTACTATCACTGCACATGCTTCCATTTCACAGTTTGTCCTGCTTGCCACTTATCACTGTCGTAGCGTAACACACTTTTACTTTTAGCCAGCCGTACGGTTTAGGTTTGTTTCTCTCTAATGCATGTTTCTTCTATGTGGCATGTTTCCAAATTATTCCATCTAGTAATTGCACTTGCTAATTTTTTTTTTTTTATCTTCTTCAGATTTTAAGTTGATTTAAGAAAACATCTGAAAATATAAAGAAATCATATCAGAAAGAACAAAAGCAAGTTAATTTGGTTTATGTGGTTGCATTTCTTAATGCTTCTGATGGATGACATCTAAAACAGAAACCACTAATATTACTACAAGTCTTAGAGCTTTCATCAGTTTTATAAGCAAATAACTCCTAAAATCTTTTGATTGATTGATTGATTGATTGATTGATTGATTGATTGATTGATTGATTGAATTGGAAAGAATGCATCCAATTCTTTCCATCAAGTTCAAATTTAGATTCAATTGGGGGCTGCACAGTGGTGCAGTTGGTAGAGCTGTTGCCTTGCAGCAAGAAGGTTCTGGGTTCGATTCCCGGCCCCGGTCTTTCTGCATGGAGTTTGCATGTTCTCCCTGTGCATGCGTGGGTTCTCTCCAGGTACTCCGGTTTCCTCCCACAGTCCAAAAACATGACTGTCAGGTTAATTGGGCTCTCTATATTCTCCCCAGGTGTGTTTGTGTGTGTGTGCATGGTCGTTTGTCTTTGTGTTGCCCTGCGACAGACTGGCAACCTGTCCAGGGTGACCCCGCCTCTCGTCCAGAACGTTAGCTGGAGATAGGCACCAACCGACCCCACAAATGTGCACAGAAAATGGATGGATGGATGGAGCGTATTGAGTTGAATTGATAACTTTCAATTGATAAGCATGTGGTGGCAGTGGGAAGGAAAGACTCTGAATAAACAGGAAGAAAACCTCCAGAAGAACCAAGTTAAGTGGGAGCCACCATCTGCCATGATTGACTAGGAGACAGAAAAAAAAGCACACAAAGCACTGGCCTGAGATTTCTTTGCCATGGAAACAAAAAAAATAATGATTTTCTTTAGTGACTCAGTCCATAAAGAATAAATATAGCTCGTCATGGAGTCGCTGAGCCATGACTATTTTCAATGGCGATGAACAAACCCGAACCGTAAAGCTGAACACAGCAGATGAACAGAAAAGCTGAGAAAGAACGCGCATAAAGTTAGTTCCACCGACAGCTAGGTCAGCGACTCCACCCAGAAACAACAGCACGGCTAAATGCTTTCCATGAAAATAAAAAAGCAAAGTTAATACCTTCACTGACTTTTAGAACCTGGGCTACTTTCTTTGAAAAAGCAACGCAAAGTTAATAGAAACAACGACGTCGTTGACTCCATCCAGAAAAAAAAAAACACATCTGATCACACAAGCACCGAGTCCGGTGTCGCTCTCTATGGAAAGGGAAACAGAGAATGAATGCAAATTTGATGGAAGCAACATCTTCTATTCTGTACTTTCTATGACAGAAGCAGAAAAACAGAGAAAGTTAATGGTAGCAGTAGTTCCTTCAGTGTCTCCAACCAGGAAACCATCACTCTCTAAGAAAAGAAAGAGGATGAGGAGGAGTGCAGAAACTCAGTGGCAGCTGTAACTGAATCCTTTCTGGAGAGATTACATACAAATCTGTTCTGTCATCTTTTAAATGGTCAAACGACAACATCACGAAAAACACCAAAAGATAATCCATCCACAAAGGCACAGACATAACAGTAATTAATTACACTGATGGCAGCATCATCTAATTGTCCTACATCTGTGACGTTGGCAGCCGGGCCGAAGCAGTCACGCACGTTTGACGGGAAATTTTTTTTTTTTTTTTTTTATCAAGTTGTAATTATTTTTACGGATGCTTGAAGGTTTTCAAAAGTGAGACAGGATTTTCAGATATATATATATATTTTTCCAGAGGTAATCCCTTTGATCTGAAGCCACCAGCTCACAACTGGACTTCCCCTAAAGCGATAGCACTCTCTTGCTTACATTTATTATTATTTTTTGCCTACTCTCCCTTTTATCACCTCTTCCTGTCGGTGTAACAGGTCCGCCAGAAGCCATTGAAAAAGGAAAAACAAAAAAAAGGAATTCATTGTCATCCACGTTTCCATCTCGTCACGTGGTGCTTCGCCTGGCTTCAAATAGCCCATCTAACTCACCCGGCAGCCAGATTTTCCACTGACACAGGCGAGGATCAGTGAGCCAAGTGCTATGAAGAGGTGGGCGGTCAGATAACATGAAATTTATCGAGCTGCATCTACCCGTCGAAGCAGGCAAACACAATATGCACACGGACAGCGAGGAGCTCAGTGACTCTGTGAGTTTTGCTGACGGGAAGACCTGTTGACTGTCGATTCCTGACTGTGTTTTCTCTCGGTTCTGTTTGGGGGTTGTCTCTGGAGCCGCTTGTGCGTTGTGTTTTCTCGTGGCTGGAAGTGTTTGCAGGATTGTCGGCGTGTTTGTGGAACAGGAGAAAGAGGATTTGCTCTGGTTCCTCGACACTGGGCTGTTTGGTGAGGGGATTATATGCCATGTCTTTTGTGTGTGTGTGTGTGCGTGTGTGTGTGCTCTGTTCAGAGAGGTGTGAGGGCGTCTGTAGGTGGCTGAATCGGACATTATATAATGGCTAAAGTGTGCTTTCCGATGAGTGGCAATTGTCGATGCAGAAGCTTGTTTAGTTTCCTGATTGATTGCCTCGATCGGTGTGGATCAGAGGGAAACTTTGGGAAAAGTTGGGATGGAGCTCCTGTAGGATTAATGTGCGCGAGTTAGCGGCGGATAAAAGAGCAGCGCCACTAAAGATGAAGTTTATATAAAGCTTTTCCGACCCGGCTGACTGTGTGTGGGAAGCAGGAGCTTTGTTTTAGAGGCTGATTCTTTTGTGAGCCTCATTTCGTCTCGTTTCCTGCAGCTTTCGTCGTTCTCATCCCTCACTCCTCCCCCTCTTTTGCCCTCACTCCATAAGCCTCTTGACCTCTGTTTGTCATCAACGCACAAAACGCGTTCACTCGTCTTTTTCTCTCTCTCTCTCTCTCTTTCTCTATCCGTCCATCTCTCCTCTCCTTCCCCCCCCGCCCCACCTGCAGAGGTGCGTTCGGATACTGTTCCAGGACGGGGAGCGGAGCGCCGTGCGGACGTTGCAGTGGAGAGCCGGCGAGACCAGCCAGGCCCTGGCACAGCTGTGCGCCTCCACCTTCGGAGTGTCCGACCCACAGCAATACACACTGTTCTGGCGCAGCGGCGGCGAGATGAGGGCCCTGCCGCCCCAGGCCCAGCCCCAGGACCTGGCCAGCCACAGCGAGGGAGGGCCCTCGCTCTCCTACCTGAGGACCGACCACGACTTCAGCAAGATGCGGCGGCTCACCAGAGGTGGTGCCGTGGACCTGAGCGAGTCGGTGTGCGAGGAGTGAGTGGGAGGCACAGAGGAAGCAGCAGGAGGAGGAGGAGGAGGAGATGGATGGATGGATGGTGGGTGTTTTTCTCTGTCTCTTACTCTCTCTCTCTGTGTCTCCTCTCTCCGGCGGTGCGCTGTGCCTCGTCACGGGTCGGGACTCGTCGTGAAAAGCGACGGTCCTGATCCTCCGTCCTGATCCTGAACGGACCAGAGCAAAAAGCAGAGACAACTTGCTGAGAGTTGTTGTGCCGCGCATTGAGGCCGCTTGTGTTAAAAGGAGTGTGCTATTTTGTGACATGGAAAATGTGTAATAAATGGATTTGATTGTTTCTTTTTTTGTTTTTTTTTTCCTGCAACATGAACCCAGAGTTGTACCATGAAGAGATTACATCATTAAGAGACGCCGAGGCTCGAATCCAAAGAACACAAATTCTGAGAGACTACTGTTGCCTGGAAACAAAAAACCACTTCCTGTACGCACTTAGGGAGGCAAATTGTCCACCGTGGTGATGTAACCCTTTCACATTGTAAGTCTGGGCTAAGTCTTAAAGACACTTGGATGTATTATTGCTTCACTTTCTGTGCAAAAAAAAAACTGCAGATGTTTCTCGACCTTTCTGTGGTTCCCTGAAACGTGGCCTCGCAAAAAAGAAAGTGAGATGTGTTGCGGACAAGACCGAACTGCAGTACCAAAGTGACAGAACATGCATCATCAGGGTTTTTGAAAGAAGTGAGATTTGAAATCAGCTGTGCATAAGAGTCTCCCACAGAGGTGGCTTTATGCTTGCCTGCTGGAGCGAAGGCACAGACTCCCCTCCTTGTTTTCAGTTTCTCACATGGGTTTTTTTTTTTGCTGGTGGAATAACGAGAAAGTGGGAGGAAGGTGGCAGAAAAGCTTCAGTTTTTTTTTCTTATTTTTTATTTTTAAGATCCTCTCCACACTAACCTGGATATTTTTTGCCAAACTAATATTTTGTCTTCTTCTTTTGCATCTCTTTGCTAGGGAAAGGTAATATGGACCTAAAATTTTATAACAATTTCTTAAATTTGCTGCAATAATGATAATGGTAAAGAAACAGTTAAACATTCCTGACAGGCTTTTTCCCTAATTCATTGCACCGGTAGGTAGTAAGGCAACAATACAATTAAATACCACACAGTGTTTGTGTTCAATAATTTACTTCTTTTTAATATTTTGTCATTTATCAACACTCATGCAACCAACCGTGGAAAGTATGGAAAAGTTATAATCCGAAGCATGCCGTCTCTTTTTGAGGTATGCGAACATTGGCATTCGTTGTTTTCACCTTAAATCACAATTCTTAACTTGACATTTTTCCCTTTGATACCAATAAATAAATACAACAACAGCCCATTCCAGTCCCATCATGTTTTGGGAAAACAACAGAGAATTTGAACGTGACTCATTAAAGTGCAGAGTTTTAGAAACTGGTCTACCTATGCTGGTGTTTGAATCTCACTTTGCACACGTCCCTGTTTGGGTTTCTGTGATTGAAATGAGTGGAATAGTTTATGGGAGAACCTTAAAGGCAAGAACGTACTCTGCAGGAGATTTGTTCTCTCTCCCAAAAAAGATGACTTCTTTCTTTTTCTTGCTGTTTCTTCTTGACGCGACATCTATGACGAACTTCTTGTCCCGTATAATGTCTGAGAGCTATTAAGTGATTGGTCAGAAATCCAAAGTGGGTATGGTTAATTGGGAAAAGGAGAAATGTAGATATGTCTACTTCTCCCAAGTGTGGACTTCTGCAGTTGAAATCATTGGGGGAGAATGATAGAAGCCGATTCACGCTTCACAAGAAACAAAAAATAATAACTTCACCCAAGATGGCAGGATCAAGAACAACTTTCTTTCTTGGTCTGGAAATGGCATCCTCATCAAACCACTTGATAAGTCCACACCAGCAGAAGTGTTGCTTTGCACTGACAATGCCCATTTCAAATTTCTGGCCAAGTGCCGAACTTCAGAGAAGTTTAAAGAAACGTTTAGAGAAATTTCTTTCCTCTCCTAGGGTTTCAGGAAATCAATAATTAAATTATTTTTCTGCAGCCCTGGAGTTCTTACAGCTTGTTCTCAATTGTTTGGGCAGAATTTTGTTTCCTACTTTGGTGACTATTGGTCAGAAGTTTGCAGTAGTCAATACACTTGACTTCCTGGAAAGTTCTGCACTTCAGTGTCTTGTGAAGTATGAAATGTAAACAGTTATTTTTCTTTCTAAATTTATTAACCGAACAAATTTATCATGTCTTACAGAGACCTTTAGCCTAGCACTTCTTTAGCCATGCTCAGGATCTCCTTCTTTTGATTTTTCTGATAATTACATTATTGCCACCTGCTGGTGAAATCTTGACATTACAACCTTGTTAATGGGTTAGAAAATGGTGAAAGTTGTAACTGGGGCCAAAATTTTATCAGGGAGGGGAAAAAAACCCCAATCTGCAACAAATTGATCAACTTACTGACTGACTTGCGAATGTATTAAATAATATTTTCCTGCATTCATTCCATTTAAAAAAAAAATGCTCTGAGTTGTGTTGTTTCTCTTGGCCCAAGTGTAAGATGAAGTGTTGTGTTCTGACAAACAAATCAGGACCTCATGAGGACTGGAAGAATGTAAATGTCCTCGTCACACCAGCTTCTGGGACTCCTGCTGCAAGTCATCAACGTCAACAGACTGTTTGACTCAGTGTCACTTTCAAATATATATATATCTATCATATTGTGAATTTAAAGCTAAAATTGAAATTGTTCAGTTTGTTGTGTGGATATGAAAGTGCAGATTTTCAACATATCTGGAGTTTTTAATCCGACTGAGAAGGTTTGTTTTTGAGAGCTATGATGTGAACATTGTTGCATGCTTTCTCATTCAACGTGAAGATTGATTTATGTGTGTATGCGTGTGTGTGTGTGTGTGCGTGCGTGTGTGTGTTTGAAGCATGTGTTTACTGTGGGAGCTCACCGATTTTTTTCAATGTAAAAAAAAAAAAAGCAACACACACACGACTGTATTTTGTCAGGCAATGCAGTATCGCAATAAAGATTGCAATATCTGTACCAGCGCCATGTGCTTCCAGGGAGGATTTTGTCTTGAATAATCTCAATCACCACTAGGTGGCAGCAAAATCCAATCAGTCTTTTAACCTCATCCTTTATTATTCTAACCTTAGGGGTTCTTTTTCTTTTGCAGAATTGACATTAAATAATTTAATACATCATCACGTGTTTCTTGTCGTATAGAATTTGTTTCGTAGCATCTCATTAAAACACCAGCTGCTGAAGCTGAAGCGACAAAACAAATATCTGTATGCAGATGTTTTGAAGAAAAATTAACTCATACCTACTTTAATACTTTAGTTTCTTATCCAAATCATTCATCTTGGATTTCTCTTTGGCAAACAAAGTTAGCTTAATCACTGCTAACATCTTAGAAATGTTTGGCTCATACATATTTATTTATTTTAGTCATTTTTGTCATCTTCTCTTATGGCATCCACTTTATTAAAAATATGTGTTTTTTCCAAAGTGTTTGCAAAGAACAAGTCAAAATGTCCATCCCTCCATCTTCTTTACACCCTTGTCCCTTAGTGGGGTCAGGAGTGTTGCTGGTGCCTATCTCCAGCTAACATTCCAGGTGGGTCACCCTGGACAGGTCACCAGTCTGTCACAGAGACAGACAGGACAAACAACCATGCACACACACCAGAGTGTGACTGTGTGGAACCAGAGTACCCAGAGAAAACCCACACATGCACAGGGAGAACATGCAAACTCCAAACTTGAACCTAGAACCTTCTTGCTGCAAGGCAACAGCTCTACCAACTGTGCCACTGTGCAGCCCAAGTCAAAATGTGTGATTCACAATTCAGACTCAGTTATTTGTTTTTATGGGGTAAGTGGTCCCAGGAAAATGTGTCAGTAAAGCCAACTGAGTCAATCAGTTTGGCTCATTTCCATATGAATTTATATTTATATTTTTATCATCTATAGGAAGATACCTGTTTTTATATAACTTTTTGTCTGTACATTTATAAATAGGCCAAAAAAAATGGGGGACCAATAAATATAGATGATGCTGTGTAAACCAAGAAAACAAAAATGTCTGGTTTAGTAATAAAACTTACAAAATCCAGTTGATTGCTTGCTTTACAGCGTTTATGGTAACAGAAGCATTAGAATAAAACTCATTGTTTTTATGAACAGAGAAGAGGAAGAGACAATAATTGGGCAATCTTTTTGATGAAATAACAAAATTAGCATTAGTTCATACGTTGGTTTCTCTCTATCTTTTCTGTTGTGATTGTTTCATCGGATTCCTCCTCCCAGTTTTTTCAGCACGCCTAGGCCCTTCTCCCTGTACTCCTCCAGGCTGAGCCAGAAGGAGTCCTTGTCTTTCATGATGTTGGCCAGCACAGCTCCGCCCAGGAACACCATGTGCTTGCGCCTGGGCGGGTCCTCGATTCGGATCTTGAATTTCTGCAGAGGGGCAAAGTAAAGCGAAGAAAGGTATGGGTCAGGGTATGGACATCAAAACACAGGGTGTCTGTTTTTGTTTTTTAAGTATTCTTGATCGTGATGTGGCCCCTAAATGAAAATGAGTATTGACTACCAGTACCATTGGGTACTTGTTATATTATTCAAGAACCAACACAGATGTTCACCAGTTTTCTGCAGCCATTAATACCCTTCAGATTCTTACTGATAGCTTCTGGGTGTCTCCATCAAGCACCCTCTCCAGATAGAGTTGCTTGATCTCTCTTTCCAGCCTGGAGGGAAGGCCCGGATACATGGTGGTCCCTCCTGACAGGACAATGTGCTTGTAGAAGTCAGCCCTGCCCAGCAAAGCACAGTGGAAATGTGTCAGCATCAGTTCTTTGGTTTGTCAAAGGCAGCTGTGGAGGGGAGACTCAGACCTCAGGTCAATGTCTGCAGCCTGGATGGTGTTGAAGAGCAGCTCAGCCACGCCGGCTCCTTCCACGTTGATGAGGTGAGGCTGGAAAAGAGCTTCTGGAGCCCCAAATCGCTCTCCGCCTACATTTATCTGCCGGCCATCGGGGAGCTGCAGCAAACACGCGGACCAATAAAACTTAAACAGCCAGGAAACGTTCAGGGTTTCCCCCAGCGCATTATAAGTCTGGTGGGCCACCAGGCTTTACTTGCACCCCCACCAGACTAAAACAGTATGTTTATTTATTATAAGTTTTTTTTACACACTAGTAACAGTGATATCACAGAGTCCCTTCGGTGAAATGGTTGGAAGCACAGTAGCAACACAGTATTGTCAGTATGTGAACAGGTAGGGAGGCTGAGGTGTCAGATGTCTTTTAGTAACCATTGCCTGTCTTTACCAGCCAGCATGCTAACAAATACAGTGAACAAAGTGAAAAGCCTTGGATAAAGGATCAAAAAATGTCTGGCCACATTAATTACAGTGAAATGCAAAAAAAATTGTATGTATTTCAATTATGTTTGTCTTTTTTTCTAAGACTTTACAGATGGTGTTTGTGTACTTTTCGTAATGTCTTCCAATACCACGTGGCTACATAGTGATATTTTTCAAATGCCCTGTCAACTTTACATATTTTTAAACTCAGGCTGCTGATAGATTGCCATAGTACCCGTAACACTGGGTTCAGCAAGTTTTCTTGGGGAAACTCTAACTTTTATCAATTAACATAAAACCTGAAAGTATGTCTTCTTGGCTGTTGCTCCTAAACGTACCGTATAGGACTCTACCAGGTAGGTGGTCTCCAGAGCCAGGCGCTGCTCTTGTTCAATGTTGTATCCAACGTAGCAGAGCTTCTCCTTCAACATCCGCACCGTCTCAAAGTCAGCCGTGTGGTTGAAGGCATAGCCACGCAGCAGCAGGAGCTGAAGGACGGATAAAACATCACTTGTAAAAGCAAAACTAATGGTACTGTAGAACGAATTAAATTTTTCTGATTGTCTCACCTTAATGAGGTAGCGCGTGATGTCTCGTCCTGCAATGTCCAACCTGCGCGTGAGGTGGGGTAGAGAGTAGCCCTCGTAAACCGGACAGATGTGGGTGACGCCGTCTCCCGAGTCTATAACCATCCCGGTAAGCAAACCTGAACAAACACAATTCGTCAAATCCTGAAAATATGTCCATTGGTGGGTGATAGACATAAAGTATTCAGGTGATATTAATTTATAATGCGGCCTTAAAAGCGGGAACTTGATGTCAACGTACCCTGGGCGTAGAGTGTGAGCACGGCCTGAATCGCCACGTAGATCCCATGAAACTGGTACTTTTCAAACATGATCTCAGCGATTTTCTCTCGGTTCTTGGTGGGATTCATGGGTGGCTCAGTCAGCAGGATCTTCAAAACAACAAATAACGTTAACTATGCTTAAAGAAGTCCTGTGAAACCCATAACCAGCCCTCTGTGTGCGGTCACCACACCTTGCATTCTGATGGGCTGATGCTGAGACACTCTGGGCCGAAGGTGTAGTCCCACAGGTGCAGCATGTCTTCCCAGCATCGCACCATGCCGTTCTCCATGGGGTAGGACACCTCCAGCATGGAGCGGCACTCGCTGGCTTCCTCCCCAACCATCAGGTCCTGGTCACAGAGGTCAGAGGTCATGACAGTAAGACTCGAAATGTCTTTTGTCTAGTGTAAAGGGATGACTGTATTCCTCGCAAAACATGTAAAAGTTTAATTTTCTTTCAATTTTAATGATATATTAGAAGATAAGATCATTTCACATAGATTCCAGTTTTCCTTTAGTGAGTAATTTCACATCCACAAAATATAATGTGTAAAACTAGAAGACGCATCAAATAAACACGTAATCTGCCCTTCAGTTTGATCTATTTACCTCCTTTGCAGTCCCGACAGGATCAGGATGCTTAAAGGCTTTAATGATTTGCACAGTCACAGGTTACCTTAGTGCATAAAATGAACTGTGTGCGTTGTTGCAACCATCAAATACTTCAGAGCTGGATTAGCAAAGGGTCAGGAAATTGATTAAATTAAATTAGTGCCTCTCTATTTATGTGTAATTGTGCAAAAATGTATTTTTATTTATTACATTTTGTCACATTGTGATCAGAGTTATTTAGGGTTTTCAGAATAAAAGGGATTAAATATGAAAAAGCTTTTTTTATTTTTTAAACATTATGTCATCTTTTTATTTTTATTTAATTAGGCTCACCTTGATCTCAATGTTGCCCACTTTGGTGTTCGACCGTATGATTGGCCGTCCCACCATGGCTGGGAAAATGTGCTTGGGGAAGTTGGACCCAGCAAAGCCACACTTGACAAACTGTGCGGGGGAAGTGGAGAAAGAAACATGAAGTACATTTCGGGTGTGTGTGCAAATAAAGCTCACATTTCTGCTCGTCAGCCGAAACTGAGACTTTGTGTTGGGAGTGTACAGAACTCAGATTGATTTTTTTTTTTTTACTCACACAATTGGAAAAGTATCTGCATGTTGACATTTAAATAAATAGTCACAGAGTGTTTAAATGCTATGAAATCAACCACAGAGTCTATCAAGATGAAACCTCTCACTTTACTGTCTCAACATGTCTGTTCGGTCAAACACACATTCCTTAGCCTAAAGCAACGTAACACATTCCTCTAAAAAAAAAAAAAAAAAAAAAAAAATCAATAAATAAGAAAGAAATGTAGGTCAACAGGTTGGTATGAATTTTATTTGCCAGTATTCTTAGAAATAAACATGTAAATCCTATAATGTTACATCAAGGCGCCTCTTTGAACATCTTAACACCTCATACTTCTCCCTGTTTTTCATCCAATTGCATGCTCCCTTCAAACCACCACAACCATTTATGGATGTTTGTAAAAGCAGGAGTGACAAGTCCAGACTCGTGCAACGAGACTGCAGTAAGCGCCGTGTTACACACCCTGCAGGATTTCTGCATCTGTTTGACTGGAAACCCAGAAATCAAAACGCTGTTAGAGATGCAGCACACCTGATTTGGATGACAGTATCACCAACGTTGGGATGACTTGGAAAGATGAAGGCTACATAAAACATCATGCCAAAAAAGAAAAAGAAAAAAACAACCTGTGATGTTATGATGATTACTGTGTGAAAGAGTTTGAAGCACTTACTCACCCCCGTCCCATTGTCACAAACCACCACCTTCCTCCCTTGGCTGTCCATGCCTTCGCTAACAGTTCAAGATACTCCCACTTGTCCGACGAGAGCCTGATTAAGCTTAATAGTGAAGGTAAACATGCATGAGTTAAACTGGGATCACAACTGACAGGTAGGCAGAAGTCTGCTCTTGAAGCGTGGGTGGGGTTACACAAAGTAAAAACACCCGTTTTATGGCGAAGGAGGATGAGGAGGGGTGGAGTTTTTAATTTTTTTATTGAAGCAGGAAAGGTTTTGTCTCGTTTATGAAAGCAGAACTTCCACAAATGACCTTTTGGATCAGTTCAGCATTTTGTGGTGCACTCTGCAGAGATTACTATTTACCATTTATGCAGGTTTGTTGATCCTCCACAACTTTGATATTGAATCTGAACATAAGCTACGATATTTGGCTATACAACCTTCTGTTATTACCTCTACAGTAAACCAGCATGTGGACATTGGAATTGTTGACACTTTATCAGTCCAATCATCAGAAAATGTTAAAACCTTTATTCAGGAAAGACAGGTGTGACCTGAAAACAGTCTGATCATAGCTGAAAATAATAAAACAAAAGAATTGTGAAAGAAAAGGCTCATCTTTGCAGTACTAATTTATCTGCTGCTTTGGGAGAATGACAATGATGGAACTAAATAATACAATAATATTTGACCCAGAATTAAACTTCTAGTTTATCATGAAATCCAGAGGAGGTGCAACAAAATATAAATCAATACATGAGTTAAATAATTTGCTTTTATCATAATTTTATTATTTATGAAATATTATGATAGTGTACTTTACACATCCGTTTACATATTTAGAGATAAAAATTGGAACTCGCCTCGTCCTCATAAAGATGCCAAACAAACGATACAAGAACTGAGATGAACACAAATAAGGTTATTATACAGCCCTCTGGCGGTGAGATGCAGTAGTGCGTCTTATTAAGGGTGAACATTGCAGCCTTGCAATTAAACTTTGTAGTAATGGCGGATTTGTGACGTTACCGTACTGATCCTCCAAACGGACAGCTCGTTTTCAACTTCATGGTAACAAATTCAACACCGCATTTTTATTAATTATTCATTATTTTTTGTTAAGTTCGGTAAGCCTGTTTTTCCCAGAATGGTAACTGTTTTTTCATCTTTTGACCGTAGTGGTTCTGGGAAAGAAACCGGGCGCCATCTTTGGGACTGCTGCGGTTTCAAAAGAATCAGAAATATTGCTAAAATGTTATAAAAATGTCGTCAGAAACAGGTAAGAACTTTTTTTCGTCAGCTGTTCGATGGAGTTGTAATGGTCATAAAAACATGTTCGTACAAAATAGCTTAAAGCTGCTATTTTGCAGTATTAACACCAACTACAACAACAGTGTCGTTTTTTAAAATTTACTCGTGGTGTCTCAAAGCTTAAGATAAGTTGTTTTTGTTATGCTTTATATTTTTGCCTTAGACAAATTTATTGGAAGTTATTTTACTTTTATTGAAACAATTCTTAGTATAGTCATTTAAAATTTGCAAAACAAATAATCTGAATCAGAATTCAAATTATTTTGAATTCTGATTCAAATTTAATTCAGTTCAGTTCAAAATACTTTATTGATGCCAAAGAGAAATTCATGTTATTGAACAAACTTACCCATATTTAGTTGAAATAATACAACACACATTTCAAAATCAGGTTAAATTTACATTTTTTATATTATTTTTTTATATATTCTTTTGTATTTAATATAGTTATGCTGTCAAAAACATTACCACAGATTTTATGAGCAAAGTTAAAACTTTTAAGAGTTGTATATCAAAGAAAGGTTTTCA